ACTTTAAGATGTCAAACTTGGGGCTGGAGAGATGGCTCAGAGGTTAAGAGCATTGGTGTTTCTCTTACAGAGTTCAATTCCCAGCAACCGCATGGTGACTTAAAACCATCTATAATGACATCTGGTGCTCCTTTCTGGCATGTATGCATACATGCAGGCAGAATACTGTATATATAATAAATAAATCTTTAAAAAAAAGACATGCACTTAAAAAAAGTTGTAAAACTTTCACTTCAGTTAACAATATCAAACTTAAGCTTTTTATTATAATATTCAGGGTTAAAAAATTCTCAATTAGCTATACAATGACAGATTCTATAGTGCTTTAAGTATACATACTGCTTTTTCAGAGGACCTGAGTTCAGTTCCCTGCATCCATGCTGGGAGGCTCACCACTACTTGCAACTCTAGCTCCAGGGAATCCAGCAACTTTTTCTAGACACCAAGAGCACCCCCACACACATGCCATACATTCATAGATACTGATAAATAAAATTTAAAAAAATCTTAAAAATAAGCCAAAAAAGTATAGTGTAATTTGCCTGGTGAGATGGCTCAGTGGCTAGTTATAAGCCTGATGACCTGAGTTTGTTTCCTGTAACCCACATGGTTGAAAGAGAGAAGAGACTCCCAATGTTGTCCTCATGCCCATCCATCCAAAATAGAATAAAGACAACAACAACAAAACAACAAAATTACCACACTATATAATGTAAAACGCCTTGGGGTTCAGCTTCACATTTCTCCAGAAGTTGTAATGAGCAGCTACTCTGTTTCCAGTTGTCTGTGCTTTATTGTAGGCAGTGTTCACCTCTTGTGAGAATCTGATAATGACTTACGATTTTTTAAAAATTAAAAAAAAAAATTTTATGTGTATGCGTATTTTGCCTGCATGTATGTTATGTCTATGTCATGTGTGTGCTTGATGCCTGCAGAGCCCAGAAGAGGACATCTTTATTCCCTGGAACTGCAGTTACAGACGATTAGTTAGTTAGTTAGTTATAAGCCACCATATAGGTGCTGAGAATCAAACCTGCGTCCTCGGGAAGAGCAGCAAGTGCTTTTGACTGCTGAGCCATCTCCTTACTTAGCCCCTGGCATTGATTTCTGGTTTGCTTGTTTAATTTGCTCCTGGAATTCCTAATACACCTCGAACACAGTGTAATAGAACTTGCAGAAATAGAACTTATAGAATCATGTAAACTTAATTGTCCTTTTTATGCTCACTTTACTTTGGCTATAGAGTAATGTTGTTTGTTTTGCTCTTTACTCTTTTTGGCGGCCTGCCATCCAGCTCCCATATAAATCACACATGGAGGCTTATTCTTACTTATAAATGCCCAGCTTTAGCTTTGCTTGTTTCTTGCCAGGTTTCCTTAACTTTAAATTATCCTGTTTTCTTACTTCTATAAATCTTACTCTTCCTCAATTGCTGGTGTGTAGCTGGGTGGCTGGCTCCTGGAGGCCTCCTCCTTCTCTGGATATTTATTTTTCCCTCCCATATTTCTCCTATTTATTCTCTCTCTGCCTGTCAGCTCCACCTATCCTTTTTCCCTGTCTCACCATTGACCATTCAGTGCTTTCTTAGACCATCAGGTGTTTTAGATAGGCACAGTAACACGGCTTCACAGAGTTAAAACAAATCTACATAAACAAAAGTAGCACACCTTAAAATAATATTCTATAAGAGAATAAGATTGTTTTCTAGGAAAGTCAGAAATTTCTCCTATGTTTCAGATACAGTAATGAAATTAAGTTTCTTATCCTTGTGTAGATAACCAGTTTGTTTCCCATGTTGTGAATATAGATGTCCATAGGATTTCTGTTTCTGCTAGATCTTTCTTCCTTCCTTTTAGCTTTGCTTCATTATTTTCTGAATTTATTTCTTTGCTTATATTTTTCATTAAAAAAGGTGTCTGTATTAGTTACTTGTCTTTTTGCTGTGACAAAATAACCTGACAAAAGTTAAAGTAAGGAAGAATTTATTTGGTTTAAAGTTCCAGAGACTACAGTCCATCATGGCTGGGAAAGTTAAGCAGGAAGCAATGGCAGTCCATAGTCAGAAAGCAAAGAGCCCTGTAGGTGAATGCTGGTGCTTTCTCCTTTTTACTCAGTCCAGGACCCAATTTATAGTATGGAACTTTCCACATTTAGGGTAGGTGTCCCACTCAGTATATTTTAGGTAATCTCTCACAGACATCTTTTCAGTGATTCTATATCCTATCAAGTTGACCTTCATAGTATCTTTTGTGACAGTATTATTGCTTAAAATCTAAAAATTCAGAGAAGTGCATTTATTTGTGATAAATAACTTTTTGCTTTTTGTTTGTTTGTTTGTTTTTTTGAAACGAGGTTTCTCTTGTAATCCTGGCTGTCCTGGAATTTGCTCAGTAGACCAGGCTGGACTCAAACTCAGAGAATCACCTGCCTCTGTCTCCCAAGCACTGGGATTAAAGGCATGCCCAACCCAGAAAGATAACTTTAAAAAAAATTATTTAATTTTATTTTAGGTCCATTGGTGTTTTGCCTAAATGTATGTCTGTGTGGGGGTAAAATATCCCCTGGAAGTGGAGTTACAGACAGTTGTGAGTTGCCATGTGGGTGCTGGGAATTGAATTTGGGTCTTGTGGAAGAGAAGCCAGTGCTCTTAACCTTTGAGTGATCTCTCCAGCTCCTGAGATAACTTTCTTAAAGATATATTTTAATTTTTTTTACTTTAATATTCTCTCTCTCTCTCTCTCTCTCTCTCTCTTTTGGTTTTTCGAGACAGGGTTTCTCTGTGTAGCTTTGCGCATTTCCTGGATCACACTCCATAGACCAGGCTGGCCTCGAACTCACAAAGATCCGCCTGCCTCTGCCTCCCGAGTGCTGGGATTAAAGGCGTGTGCCATCACCGCCCGGCTACTTTAATTCTTTTATGTGTATGGATGTTTTACCTATATGTATGTCTGTGCATGACTTTATATGCAGTGACTGTAGGTACCAGAAGAGAGAGTTGAATTCCCTGGGATTGGAGTTACAGTCCATTGTGAGCTGCCATATGAGCGCTGGGAATCAAACCCCATTCCCCTGGAAAAACAGATAGTAATTTTGATGGCAGAGCTCTCTCTCCACAATCACGATTTATTGTTTTAATTTTAATAGTGTGTATATCTGTATGTGGCTATGTGCACATGAGTGCCAGTACCCAAGGACACTAGAGTTGTTGGATTCCCTAGAGCTAGAGTTACAGGCAGTTGTAACTAGCCCATTGTGAGTACTAGGAACCAAACTTTGGTCCTCTGCAAGAGTACTGTTAACCACTGAGCTCTCCAGACTTTTTTTTCCCCTACAGATTATGTAGTTTAGGCAGGCCTCGAATTTACTGTGTAGCCAAACTGGCCTTGAACACTTGATGTCTTGATCCTAGTGCCTCTGCCTCTTGAATGCTGAAATTATAGGCATGTACCATTATGCTCAAGAAGATAATTGTTAATATTAATAATTTAATACACATTTCCTCTTTTTTCCTGTTTTTATTTATTTATTTATTTATTTATTTTGGTTTTTTTTTTTTGTTTTTTGTTTTTCAGGGTCTATGTCTAGCCCAGGTTGGCCTGGAATTCTTTATGTAGCTGAGGTACCTTTTTTTTTTTTTTTTTTTTTAAATTTATGATTAAATTAAACATGGCATGTGCTACCATGCCATGTTTAGGTATTTCTGGGGACTGTGTTAACTCCAGGGCATCCTGTCTGGTGGACAAGCAGTTTTCCATCTGAGCTAGGTGTACATTTCTAGCTCCAGAGTTCTGTTTTTAATTTTTTTTTTAAAAAAAGCATCGGTGGGATTACAGTAGATATAGTAATTTCTAAACTGATATATTCAGCACGGAAATATTTTAATGTCATTAAATAGAAGATCTACCTTATTTTATGTTCTAATCATTAATTGCAGGCTAGTCAATCATGATAGTTAATATTCATTGCCATTTTGACAGAATCTAGAATCACCTAAGACAAGCCTCTGGGCATGCCTGTGAGGGTTTATTTATATTAGATGAATTTAGATGGAAAGACCTACCTTAACTGAATAGTACCATTGCATGGGCTGGGATGGTGGATTGGAAGAAAAGGAGAGCTGAGCTGAGAATTAGCATTAGTCTTTCTTGGATTCTGGAATGCACATGCATGTGGATCAGCCATCTCAAGCATCATTATTAAAGTGAACCCTTTCTTATTTAAGTTGCTTTTGTCAGAGTATTTTATCACAACTATAGGAAAGTGACTCATCCCTATTGTATTTCTAGTTACACTACAACATACCTCCTCATTCCACATTTCAGTGCTAGTAAGATGAATTTTTATATTTCAGATCAAGGGTATATAGACTTTATTTTATTTTATGACATTGGTGTTCTGTATGCATGTATGTCTGTGTGAGTGTGTCAGATTCCCTGGAACTGGAATTTCACACAGTTGTGAGCTGCCATGTAAGTGCTGGGAATTGAACCAGGTCCTACGGAAGATTATCCAGTGCTTTTAACTACTGAGACATATATTATATTGTGCTTGTTTATTCTTTCACTACAATTATATAAGTGACTTCTTTTTTCCCATATCACTAGTATGTTAGGCAGTACCCATCCAATAACTGCAGAGTATCTTACTTTAGTTTTGCTGTCTTGGAGATGTATATAGGTTTTTTTCTCCTCAGTTTTTTTCATAGATATTTTATAAATTTGTATAATGTTCTTGTATAATTATTTTAGAAATACTTTGAAAGCTAAAAATGATTTATAATTTACTGCTTTATTAATATTCTTATGAAAGGGCTTGTCTTACTGATAAAGAAAAGTCCTATAAAGTTATAAGTATAAATGCTTTTGTATGTTATTCATTAAATTTGATACTATGAGAGTGTACCATATTTTTATTTAGAAAGTAAATGAAATTAGATGGGTGGAAAAAATCTTTAAAATTGCCTTACTGGTCTGTGGTTTTTATTTTTTAATTTTTTATAGATACTGTACTCCAAGATACTTGGATTATGAAGATTTGGAACGCAAATACTGGAAAAACTTAACTTTTGTGGCACCTATTTATGGAGCAGATATTAATGGGAGCATATATGATGAGGTATATCTATATTTATGTTGTGGTTTTTAAAAGATTGGTGATACTGCTTTTGTTTATTATTTTTAGATAACCAGTAAGTACTCAATTGTAGTTATTTATTTTTATTACCTTAAATTATGTGAATGTATGTGTGTCTGTGGGTGAGGATATGCATATTTGTGCCGATGCTTCTAGAGATTAGAGGCATTGAATCCCTTGGACTTGAAGTAATAGGTGGTTGTGAGCTCTCTGATTATAAGTATTGGGAACCTAACTCAGGTCCTCTGTAAGATCAGCATTCACTATTAACCAGTGAGTCATTTTCTACATCTCCCCCACCTCTCTTTTCTTTCTTTTGAGCCAGAGTCCTATATAGTTCATGCTAGTTTAAAACTTGCTATTTAGCTGAGGATGACCTTGAACTTCCAATCCTTTTGCCTCTACTCCCATGCTAAAACTGACCGTCAGAGGACAACTATCAGGAGTCAGTTCTGCTCTTCTGCCATTTCGATTCTGGGGATCAAATTCTGGTCCACCTGCTTGGTGGCAAGCACTTTACTGGCTGTACTATTGTTCCATCCCTCCACTCCACCTTTTATGTTTTTCTTTCATAGATAAATTATATGATTTCTTTTTCTTTTTAAAAAAATATACATGCTGTGATAGTCTTTTTAAGCTATGAATATTATATTCATCATGACAATTCATCTTTAGTATATCAGCATGTATCTTTAAGTTATAATTGAATATTTATATATCAACTAACGTATAGGTCATATTGAGGTCACCAGAATTTCTCTAATGTTATTTATATTAATTCCCCTGCCCCTATATATAGGGTAAAGTGATGAATTCCTTTAGGGCAGTTCAATTCCCTGGACTGTAAAAAAATAAACAAATACATAAATAAATGGAGGAAGAATGAGTTTCAATATATAGTTAATAAGTGAGTGAGTTTTAGGGTGGTCCCTTGGTAAATGTTCTGTTCCTTAACAATCTTCCTTGTACTCACTCAGTGCATTGACCTCCATTGCTAACCCTTGCCTTAATTTTGTTGTTATATTATTTTAAATATTTTTATTTTGAAAAATAAAACAAGTTAAAAAGCACATGTCTTAGGGGTTGTATTGTGACAAAACACCATGACCAAAAAGCAAGTTGGGGAGGAAAGGGTTTCTTTGGCTTACCTTTCCCATATTGCTGTTCATTATTGAAGGAAGTCAAACAGGACAGGTACCTGAAGGCAGGAGCTGATGTAGAGGTCATGGAAGGGTGCTGCCTACTTGCTTCCTCCCCATGGCTTGTTCAGCCTGCTTTCTTATAGAACCCAGGACCACCATCTCAGGAATAACATCACACACAATGGGCTGGGTCCTCCCTCATCAATCACTAATTAAGAAAATACCTTACAGCTGGATCTTATGGAAGCATTTTCTCAATTGAAGTCCCTTCCTTTCAGATAACTCTAGCTTGTGTCAAGCTGACATAAGACTAGTCAGCACAGTACACAAAACACAAATTTAACACGTCTTTACAACTTGTTGTACATGAACATCTTTGTCAGAAACAACATTTCTGACTTCCAGGAAGAATGTTTTCAGCACCCTGTCCCCTCTATGCATGCATTATAGGAACCAGCTTCTTCCAGTGAAAACTATTATTCTGACATTATAGTAACATTTTTTTTCTTTTTTTATAACAATATAATTCATTGTGGCCCGTTTCTGAGCTTTATATAGTTAGGATCATTTAATGTATATTCTTTCTTTTTTTTCCCCTTCCTCTCTCTTTTCATTTCTCCCTTTTAACGGTTTGTTGCCAAGTAGCCAGACTGGCCTTGAAATCATACTTCTGCCTGTGCCCTCTCACATGTCCACCCTCAGTTCTGGGATTATAGCTGAATTGGACCAACCAACCCTCTTTGTTTCATTTCCAAGCTTTTCTGTATAGTTTGTAGCTATAGTTCATTAATTTTAATGGCTGTATGTGATTTGACTTTGTGAATGAGATAGTTTGTCTTCTTGTTAATAGTCATTTGGGTTGCTTTTATTTTATTTTATTTTTTTTTATTTTTTATTTTTTTTATGAACAAGGCGTCTATGAATGTTCTGTACATGTTTCCTAAGGAAGGCATAGAAGCATACCTTTCTGTTGGTGTATAGATAAACACATGACTGGCTTTAGAAGAAAACTTTGCAGTTTATAGTCACCCTTCTCAGAGCAATGTTTGAGTTTTTCCTCTTCCTTGTTCTGTAGATTTTAGTTGTTCTGTTAGGTACACATGTAGTGTCTTGTGATTTTTGTTTGTGTGTTTTTGAGACAGGGTTTCTTTGTAACAGCCCTGGCTGTCCTGGATTCTCTCTATAGACCAAGCTGGCCTCGAACTCACAGTGATCTGCCTCCCTCTGCCTCCCAAGTGCTGGGATTAAAGGTGTGTCCTACCTTGTGCTAGCTTGTGTTTTTAAATTGCATTATGATACTCCGCTCCCCTAGGTCCATTGGTTCTTTGTGGGATTTTTTTCCCCCATTCTTCTACTTCCCTTCCCCCTTCTCCTACCTTTTTTTCTCTCTCCTTTCTTCTCCTTCCTCCTGTTGTCCTTTCTTTTGTCCCCCTCTCCAGTCTCCTCCTGTTTCTTCCTTTCCTTTTCGTCCCTCTCTTTCTTCCTCTTTTCCCTTGTACCTCCTCTCCTTCTCCACCCCTCTTTTTAAGTCAGGTTCTCACCCTGAAGCCCTGAGTGACCTAGAACTTGGTATGTATTCCAGCCTGGCCTCAAATGTGTGGTGATCCTCCTGCAATGGTTTCCCCAAAACTTTTTGTTTTGTTTACCTTTTTTTTGAAACAGGATCACTGTAGCTGAGGCAGGCCAAAATTACCATGAAGCCTAGTCTGCTTCAAACTAATAGAAGTTATGCATCCATGCCTGTATTCCCGGTTTTTTTGGTTTTTCAAGACAGGGTTTCTCTGTGTCACTTTGTGCCTTTCCTGGAACTCACTCACTCTGTAGCCCAGGCTGGCCTCAAACTCATAGAGATCCTCTTGGCTCTGCTTCCCGAGTGCTGGAATTAAAGGCGTGCACCACCACCACCACCACCACCACCACCACCACCACCACCACCACCACCACCACCACCACCACCACCACCACCGTCCGGCTCATACCAGTTATTGCAAGGCTGAGGCAGGAAATTCATGTCAGATAAATGTGTTGTCCAAGAGCACAATGTGGTGAATGAAATTCTCTAAGCTACCAAAGCTGTAAGTTTAAATGCCACAGAGCCAAAATTGTTAAAAAAGAAAGGAATAATTGCTTATCATAATACATTTTTTCGGTGGACAGCAAGATTGTTGTGTGAGCACCACATGACAGCTCACAACTGTTTGTAATTCCCGGTTCAGGAGATCTGACACCCTCACCCAAACATAATTGCAGGCAAAACATCAATACACATAAAATTAAAAAAAAAAAAGTTAAAAAAATTAACTTGCATGGCATTTTCATTAATCTTTAGTTTTAGTTAATCTTCCCTCTTCTCCATCTACTTTCCAGTCTCTCCCACTCCCATTCCTGCTTGAACCTGTAATATTCTCTTTCCTTGTACTTTCAAATAACATATATTCTACTATTCCCCATTTCTTTTTTCTTTTTTCTTTTTTTGGGACAGGGTTTCTCTGTATAGCCTTGGCTGTCCTGGAACTCACTCTGTAGACCAGGCTGGTCTTAAACTCACAGAGATCCGCCTGTCTCTGCCTCCCGAGTGCTGGGATTAAAGGCGTGTGCCACCATCGCTCAGCTTATTCCCCACTTCTTAATGCCTGTTCTAACCTCCACTACTGCCAATGGTCACATTCTAACCTCCTGCTTCTATAGGGACAAATAGACAAATCCAAAAAAACCGAAATTAGTGTCTCTGGATGAGAGAAAACATACATAGGGTTAACTCACTCAGTCTGTTTTCCAATTCTATTCATTTTCCTGAAAGTTTCACAACTCCGGTTTTATTTATAGCTGAATAAAATCTCTGTTTGTGTATATGGATCACATTTTCTTACCCACACAGCTATTGTGAATAAAAATCAATGAACATGGTTGTGTTGGTGTCTCTATTGTTGCTTGTTTTTGTTCTTTTTGGGGGGCCCACCACCCAGCTCCCAAATAAATTAACATAGGAAGGCTTATTTGTAGACGAATTTCTAAATGATCTCATTTAATAAAAAGCACAGAGCCAAATATAGTGGTGAAAGCCTTAGAGATCAGGGAAATAGGGAAAGCCACGACGAGCCAACCTTACCTTACCAACTCTGCAGCTTCCAAATGCCTGCTACTTCCTGTCTACCTATGCCTTTATAGGCCTTGCTTTTCTGCCCTCTCATTGGTTCTTAGCCTAGCTACCTCACTTCCTTGTCACTGCCTGTCTGTACAGACCTCCAGGTCTCTATGGTTGGTACTGGGATTAAAGGTGTGTGTCACCACACTTGGCTCTGTTCCCTAGTATGGCCTTGAACACATGGAGACCCTACCTGCTAAGTGATTGGAATTAAGGGCGTGTGCTGCCTGACTTTGTTTACTTCAAATGGCTGGCCTTTCCCCCCTGATCTCCAGGCAAGCTTTATTGATCAAAGCACAAATAAAATATCACCACACTTATTATTACTTATGAATGCCTGGCCTTAGCTTCGCTTCATTTCTAGCCAATTTTTCTTAACTTACCCCATCTACCTTTTGTCTTTGGGCTTTCCCCATTCTCTTACTTCTGTAAATCTTACTCTGTGGCTTGCTGTGTAGCTAGCCCCTGATGTCCTCCTCCTTCTCTGGCTACTTCTTCTCTCCTCCCAGATTTCTCCCTATATATATTCTCTCTGCCTGTCAGCCCTGCCTATCCTTTCTCCTACTTTTCTGTTGGCCAGTTCTTTATTAGACCATCAAGTGTTTTACACAGCTTCACAGAGTTAAACAAACAACATAAGCAAAAGTAACACACCTTAAAATAATATTCTACACATTCTGTAGTAGGATACAAAC